TGCAGTGGATGCATAGATTAACGCGTTTATCACGTTTTAACTTTACCATTACTTTATCTTTCTTTTCAGATTTTGTGATTGATTGGGATCTTACCTGGTTCTTGTTAAACGCTGAACCTCAGCATGATGCCTCCTTTACTCGTGCTCATGCTTCCTCTCATCACACCTTCAAATTCAAACTCTTTTTGGAAGATTTACCTACCTTAGAACATCTTAAAAGAATTCGCCTGAACTTGTATATCGACATTTTATCATGTCGTTCATGCCTCGACTTCAAGGAAAACTTCATGCACTTGTTTATGTGCAAATGTAAACGAATCGCTACAAAATAGATTCTCCTCTCCTACCAAAAACACTTTATCAACAAACTCCAAGAAACTGGTGATCTCGTTCATAAAGATCCCTCTTTAATTATTAACAAATTTAAATCTCTTTCTTGCTGGTCCTTTTTTTCTTCGAATTGGGCCTCATATAGTCTTGTCCGTGGCTGCCTTCCAAAATCCTTTGTTGAATACTTCGAAGAATTCTCAGTTCCACGAAACTCTGTAATGAAGGTTATCTCTGCCATCCACAATCACTTTATCCAAAAGTTCAGAAAAAGAATTTGGCTACCGCGCTCCTATGATAAATTTAAATGGGAAGACGTGATGAACATTACTCATAAACTGAAACTTTCTCGGCCTTCTAATTTGCCAAAGTCCACGTACTTACCTTGCTTAACATTACCTCCTCCGACCCTTTCTGACGCTGCACGTGATTCTGACGTTGATTATTTAAAGAGCTCGATGAAATATGGTTTGCCTTGATTTAATTACTATTCGGGTTTTATGGATCATCTAACGGTGCAACTTACTAACAGCTTTAGCAGGGTAGTGTGTCAATTTTAATAATGGGCGCATTGTTCGTTGGTTCGTTTGCATAGTTGCTTCTTCTTAGGTTGGAATATATCTAGGCGGGGATCAGGATAGTTTTAGTGTTATGCGATTTTTTCCTTTTCGAATTAATTTTATAACTTTATTACTATTTTGGAAACTATATAGTTTTGTTTTTAGTTAATTTTGTTTTTCTTTTTTGTACTTTGAAAATTTTATTTTATATTTTTTGTAAGACCGATTAATAAATTTAATAAAGATAAAGGCTACTATGCCATGTTTGCCTTAATAAATTAAACATATTTGATATGTTACATATATTTGATATGTTGAACATATTTAATATGTTGCATATGTTAAATATGTTAAACATATCAAACATTCGTAACATTCGTAACATTCGTAACATTTGAAATATAGATCAACAATCCCGTGATTAAATTGAATTCTGGTCACGTGATCGATCGTTCGTTACAATATCAAATTAAAGGAGTAAAATAAAGGAAACATTTTATCAAAGTAGTCAGTATATTCTAAAAATAGCTTTTTTTAATCAATGTATCAATGAAAAATTTATTTTTAACTTGCATATATTATATTTGTAAAGTAAAAATGTGTATACATCTTTTTACATGCTTTGATATAAAAAAAATGAATCCATTTATTTTTTTATATAACTTGATAAAGAATCATTATAAGTCTATAAAATCACTATAAATACACTATAAATTCCACATCTATTACTTTGCCTCAGATATCTTTTGATGAAAAATTACTTAATGTAAAGATGAATACAAGATATCAGCAGTATTATACCAGTCAAATCTCAAGTATTAATAAAAAAATCTTGATGGCCAATTTATCATAACACAAGTGATGGGTGTACCGTATAGCGCTGCATACAGTACCCCTTATAATAGTACCCCTTCAAATAGTACCGGGGTATTATTCAAATTCATATTCGGGTATTTTGAAAAATACCCCGGTACTAATCAAAATTCGATTTTGAATAGTACCCCGGATACTAACCATATTCTGACTTAAAATTAATCAAATTTATGCACTAATTTATTTAATTGTAACAAAATCAAATGTATCCCTTCCAATATACCCCCTTTTAATGGTACTACCCTCCTTCTATAGTATCCCCCCGGGTACTATTCAATCTAAGCAGACTTTCTTGAATAGTACCGGGGTACTAGCATTTTCCTAGTTGCTGATGCATGAATCATTGCTAATACAAGAATTTACCAAATCTATTGTCATTTTCTTGTGTACTGAAAATAAAGGGTTTGAATATCAATTATGTAATATTTTATTTGGCTACATTGCGGCGCTCATGAGATGACAACTTTGACCATATAGAAGAACGAAAACATCTTTCGATAATATATTTATTTAAGTTGGCCTCAAACATTTTGTTTTTTTTTAGTTTAGGATATAACTTTATAGGCTTTTTCTATTTCTAGTTTCTGTCGTCATGTTAAAAATAAAAATAAAAAATAAAATTTAAAAATTATTTTATTTCGAATGTCATAGGAGTAACCTACATAAGTTGTTGAACATAAAATACGTTATAATTATTTTATATTCTAATCATGTTAATTGCTTTTATTCACTCTAAACAATGAACGATCTAACCACAAATCACCCTCGAGTGATAAATGATTTTTTTACTAGAAATTAACTTAGTGTTCCGAAAGGGTCGGGTCAAACCTGGATTATTAATCCGACTCGTATTTAGTTGGGTTGGGTCACACAATTTGATGACCTGTAACTGCATGAACTCAACCCTAGATGATCAATTTCCAGCTTTTAAAAGTATATCTGGATATGATATATAAAATTCTATAATAATGTAATTAATAAAATTTTAATAATATTATTATAACAATATATTATATTTATTATATTTTATTATTGAGTGTTATTCATTGTTTACATGTGCACAAATTGATTTTGAAGTTGTCACCTGGTTTCTAGTGATTTTGTATGCTTCTTTGTCATTAATTATGATCATTCTTTCATGAAGTGCCAAAAGTGTATACACTACAGGTGTTGCTTTCTTAGTATGCGAGGTCATAGATTTTTCTAACAAAGGACTTAACAAGGAGGTTTGGTGAGTACTGGTACGTCATAAAAAAGAAACCCGAATTTAGAGTTCATACTTAATATTCTTAAAGTATCAAGCGTATTTCGGTTGAATTAGTGTTGAATTTTTATTATTTGTGATTATTTCCTTTTTTCTTATATGATAATCTTGTAAATAATATTTTAAGATCCTGTAATGAAGTTATAATGTTAAAAGGATTTATATTACTAGTTTCCAAATCTAATACATAGAAAATTAGGAATCGATCGATATGATATGATAAATATGACTCACCATCGATATACCCCTATAAATATTAGTAATGACTCATGAGGATTTTCAATATTAATATCAAGATCAGATTTTTTTTTTATCAAGATTCAAGATTTTATTTCCTTTATGAAACAAATTTTTTAACTGATAATAATGAAATGGTATTTTAGGAGAAATGATTCTGTAGTGGTATTACGCAATTTATAATAAAAAAGTTTTTTTTTTAATTTGATGGTAGTTTGGTAGTTTAATAAAAAGATTCATATTATATTATTAGTTTCCAGATCTAATACATTAGAAAATTCGATGTGATAAATGTGACTCATGATCGATATACCCCTAAATTTAGTCATGAGGATTTACATTTTTTTTATTTTTTTTTTTATTTTTTTTTTTAAAAAATAATTGAGATTTTTTTTTACATAATTATAAATTTTATCTTACATTTACTAAATCTCTATCAGAAATAGGATCTTGTAATACTATAAAAAAAATAACAAATCTTGTAATTGATTAATGAGATGATATTTTAGATTCTGTAGTGATATTACGCAATTTATAAATAAAAAAGTTTTTTTAATTTGTAGTTTGGTAAGTTAAAAGATTCATATTACTAGTTTAGGAATCGGATCGATGTAATATATCACGATCGATATACCTCACACCCCTATAGTTTTCCATTTTTACTCCTATAAATATTTAAAAAAAAAGAGATTTTTTTTTTTATCAAGATTCAAGATTTTATGAGTCAATATAGTAAAATATATAAACAAATCTTGATCTTGTGAATTTTGTACATCGAAGTTCCCATATCATCTACTGTGTAAAAATCATCTACTGTGTAAAAGGTTTTTTTAAAAAAGTATAAATATACCCCAAACTCCCTCAAATTTCTCAATACTTCATTTTTTCATTTTTTTTTCAAAAACTTCAAATAAACATATTGAACTCACTGGTCGAAGTGGCATGATGTGCATGACGTTTATGGCTCAGAAATAGCTGATAAATTTTGTTATCCCGATTGCAATTAAGAAATCTCCACTAAATTTGATTTATAGATTGAAATGGTAATATTTATTGTAAATTTTATGATTTTAAATTTAATTTACAAATTTATAAAGTGGAAATTCCGAATAAATTATTGTTAAATTTAATATCTATGTATACTGCACATATAATAAAATTTAATTAAATTATGGTAATTAATTTACAATGCATAAATTTCAAGTAAATTTTGAAATTTCAATTAAATGCAAGTTGAAATTTGTGTGAAGCGTAAAAATTATCTATTATACGAATAGAATTATTATTTTGTGCTTAGGCCGTTCCAATAAACAATTATATTTAACAAGAATCTTCTCTAAAAAAAAGAGGGGGGGTGGGGTCAAAAAAAAAATTACAGATTTTTTTTACAGTATTATTGAGCGTAAAAATTGAGGGGGGAAGTATTTATTATATTAATTTTTTTTACAATATTAAAAACTTTTAAAATAAGAGGGGATTTTATATTCTTTTTTTAAATGTAAAAAAGTAACTATTCTTTATTTTATATTTTAGTATTATTTTCAATTATACACGTTGCTTTTTTTCATTTGAAGTTTACCTTTTGTAAAAAAAGTTACACCATTTTCTTGACAAACCTCGCATAAAGGATATACTGTTCTAAATCGGGATAAAACTTCTGGTGATGGGTTGATAAGCTTATCCTCCTCGCCACAATAGTAACAAACTTGTGAATGTTCAATTCTATATGAATAATAAGTCTACTCAATTGGTGAATCACAAGTCAAATTCATTCTAACAAACACCTTATTATATAAAGGATGATTTTCTGGAACAATAGGCGAACCACATGTATATGCAAACATTTTCATAGCTGTTTGCAATATTTCACTATCAGATTCTCTTAATACATATTTACTGAAGATGCAGCGTAATTTTGTGCAAGATGTACAAAGAGCAAAATCACAAACCCTTGCAGCAACTAACATTCCATCTGGTGCAAGCTCTTGACATACAGGGTTATTTTTTTTACTTGGAAGGTCAATTTCAGTAGTATTACATCCGTATAGTGAATTGAAATCTTGATAGTGATCGGGATCTAAATTAAATTTTAATAAATAAGAAAAACCAAAATTGTTAAAAAATATAAAATTACCATACCACTTGAAATTTGTGGGTCTGGTATAAAGTGTAATTGATTAAAAATCTCCTGTGGTAATCGAATAGAACCACAAATAACACATTCATTTTTTCTGCACTTTTTGATCTTAAAATAGCCAATATAAGTAAAAGTAATAATTTCAAAGAAAATAAATAATCTATAATGTAAAATCATACCTGGAATGAATATTCTCGAACTAAATAATGAGATTTAATAAATTCTTGTAAATCAACACAAGTACGAAGTTTATTTTTTGAAGTATTATTTTGAGTAACGGTAGGATCAACCTTTTTTAAAATCTATATTTTTACCCAATAAAATAGCCAAATTAAGCACGTATTGCTTATATATCCATGTAAATACAAATCAAAATACTTACATCAAATAAATTATTAATTTCTTCGTGAGTAGCTGGGTCAATACACTTAAATTTCTGATTATGTAATTTCAATCAGGTAGTTCTATTTTGTAAAATTTCTTGAGTATCTTTGATAGCTATTTTCATTTCCTCGCTTAAAGTTTGATTGTATAATGCTGCATTTCGAATTTCTTCCATTGTTCCCAAATTTTTAAAAACTTTCTTAGAATCAGAACTCATATCACTTCTCTTTAAGGCTACACCTTGTAATCCAAGATTTATAATGACATTATACATTCTGCAGGATTTGACCATGAATGATATGATGCTGTTCGAACTGCTGCTAAAAAATCAAAATCTCCTTCCAAAAACAGACAAATCATTGCAAGTTGAACAGAACCAAATGTAGTTCGATGGTCAGCGCCACCATCAGTATAAATAATTAGCATTTCAAGCAAAATAGTATATTTTTCACGTAAACACTTTAACCATTCAGCAGAATGCATAAGTGCTGAGCTAGGTTGAAAAACAGAGTCCTTATAGGATACATATACTTGCCCTTGATAGAAACTTTCGCTGATATCTTTAGGAATGTTACATAATAATGAAACCAATGATGTTATTGAAAGTTTTGTAAAATCATGATCACATGATGTTAACTCCATATCAGCAAATGCTAATGTAGCTTTATTGCGAACTCCTGTTGATGTTTCAACTATTTCTCAGATTGGAACTTTATGTTTGTCATCTGCAGATATAAAGCAGGTGAAATTTCGAAATTTGATAACAAAAAGCCTTGTATAACGAAAAAATGCAGCACAATAATGTGCATCAGAATGAGATTTTCAGAGAAATCTACTTTGCACTTTATAAGAAATGTTAAATCGACCAGAATATTGTATAGCAGTTTTTGTATAGATGTTTTTCGGCCAAAATTGGAGTCTAATCCACTCACTGCTTAGAACTGAAATTGTTGAAAATTTTTCTTCATCATGCTTAACTTTTAGGCGTTCTATAATACTTTCACGTAGTTCTTGAATTGATATTGCAACTGGCATATACAAATTTGAGGTATGTCATCGATCATGTACTGCTAAAACAATCTTTAAATAAAATCAAAATATTCATATTAATACTTTTAATATTAAATTGGATTATTAATTAAATTACTTACTTCATTAAAATATGCATCCATTTCGTTCTAAAATTCATCAAATTTAGTTCCTTTAAATCCTCCATTTTTTCGTAAATCAAATACAATATTTGGATCTTGAGTTTCATACATCAATTTTATGCGTTCTTGTACTTCTTGAGATATCAAATTTGAATTGCTTATCGCATTTCCAGTAAGATCTTGATATAGTGTACATAATATAGCAGGTGACAATCGTGTATAAAGTGAATACTATACAATATAAAAAAATTTTAAGCATTACATTTTGTTAAGATTTACTTAAAAAGTTTAACTTACTTTATTAATCACATTTTTTCTCATTTGCCGTGTACTGTATTTTGGTAATGACTTGTGCGCTTTTAGTAAAGATTGTGACTCTTTAGTTTTATCAAATAACTCAACGGTATCTGGTCTTTTTCAAATCCAATTTAAAGTACCAATATAATTCCCACTATAGTAACGATATAATGTCATATTAAATGGAAGTTCCATTTCTTCCAAATATGCAGCTTGAAAAACATTATGTGGAATAAGATCGTCAATGCAGATAGGATCATACTCAGCCTTATCTTGCATTAAATTAATAATATCGGTATATTTATTACTCATTGATGAAGTTTTATTAATATCTAATACTTTTATGTGATCAATTCCATTTCGTATAGGT